ACAACGCAAAAGATGGGACGACGACATACGGAAATATGTGTACAGTCTGGAGCAACCATCCGGGCGGCGAAGCGGAACAACACTACGCTGGAGGTACCCAAAAACCACGGCGGCAACAAAGTGGAACCAACGACGGCACATGGTTTACGACAGCATTAGACAAGGCATGGTGGGATCGACACGAGGATGGTCTTACCGAGATCTCCGCATAGCACCGCGAAGGAGCTCTGAAGGCTGAGAAGGTGAGTGGCCATGGCCGCCCTGCGCAGGCCGCTAGCCAGCCCGCCCCCTTGCGGGGACGACTCGCGCGTCGTTCGTTCGTTCCCCCTCCTCCACCTCCTCTTCTCCCTCAACCACTTGGCGACAACGCCACTGCGAGACAAAGGGGGCCATCACCGTAGCGAATGCGGCATCAAAGGCAGCCTCATCCGCGCACGGCTCGTCCATGGAGGGCTTCACACGGGTATAATTCTCGATCAAAATTTCCAGCTATATTATGAAAGACGTGTCCGATGGCGCATACGTAGCTGCATTGCGATGTCCGGCAGCGTTGATGAATATGTCTTTTATTTTGGGATGTGTTAGAATCGTCTTGGTAGTCGTCTTCTGCCTGGTTTGGGCCAAGGGCGCACCGTGTGTGATCCCCATTCGCCCATGCCTTCTAATAGATCAGCGAATTCAGAGACGTCCAGACCACAACGGATGAAAGAGAGAGAGAGAGAGGCTCGTCGTGCACATCCACCTCCAACTCTAGCTGCACCCCTGTTGCGCTGTCGACGAAGCCAGGGGTACCTTGCGAGCCATTTGCAGCTCCAGCGTCTCGAGGACCACCTCCTGGAACACGAGTGGGGTCAGCATCTCGAGGATAGGTACCAGCAGCGCGACCGACTCCAGCACCACCACGACCGTCTCGAGGACCACCTCCAGCAGCGACATTATCTCGAGGAGCGTCTCCAGCAAGGTCGTGTGCACCTCCAGCTCCTCGAGGAGTGCCAGCATCTCCACCATCAATCTCGTCCAGGGCATCGAGAGCCTCGGAGTACGGCGGCGGTGGCACGGCGTCGGCGAGAGAAACCCGTGCCTGGGCAGCGATGCCCAGGCGGGCTCGCACGGAGGCACTTTGACGGCGTTTGCCTCGACGACCTCAGACTTCTCGTCGGACTTCTCGGCGTCGCCGAAGTCCGCTTCCAGCTTCATCCTCCAGCAGCCTGGCGGCGGAAGGCCAGGTGGTGCTGGCAGGGGTCGCCATGCAGCACAACACACACAGCTGAGAACACGGATCCGCGCGATCTGCGCGTTGTGGAGGGCCGCGCGCCTCGTGCGCAGGCAGCGGCGCATGGAGGTGGCACGGAACGGAAGTGTCAATGCCTCGGTGACCATTCGGCGGCGAGCCAGGGGGCGGGCCTTCTCGGAAGGCTCGGAAGTTCGCGGGTCTTCTGAGAGGTCTTCTGAGCCTTCCCCAGAGACAGGAAAAAGCTGTTGGAAGGCCAGAGTGATTCTGAGAAGCCCCGCGGCCCTCTGAGAAGGCCTCTTCCCTCTCACTTCCCCGCCTCGCTCGCCGCCGAACCTCAGCAGTGGCCTCCAAGGCTCGTACGGTCGGACCGAGGTATCAGATCGAGGTCGGCTCGGGGAGGGTACCGTATGGTTCTTCGCGTTTGCCAGATGTTCCTGTGCATCCTGGTGGGGGGGTACCCTCGAATGTCCTTCAGTTTGGGCGGTGGAGGGTCTCATGTTCTTGACGGATCTTCTTCCGTCCTGGGTCCGGCTGTACCTCACCTTCAGCGCCTGGCTGTGAACCAGGAGCTCGCCGACCAGCTGCAGGGCCTGCCCGCCGCCTCCACACCCGGTGGGGCGGGGCGGCCGCGGGCCGGCGGCCGTGCCGAGCCCCAAAGCGTCCCGCGGGGCAGCCCGATGGCGCGGCGCCACGGCTGCGCGCGCCGCGGACGGGCCCCCCCCCCCACCTAGAGATTTGGCATTGCTCAGACGTGTGCATGTTTCTTCCCGGCGAGGACCATCGAGGAGCATCCTGGAACATCTGGCCAAAAAAGAGCACGCACGAAACGGAAAAATACACGGGGAATGGACATCCGAGCGACGTCAAGGAGAGGTCGTGGTTTCTCAAACGCCACGACTTTCAGGATCCCTCCTCTGTCGTTTGCTGCCTCGACACGCCCGTTTTGAAACGCAACACGTGCCGAGTTCAAAACTTCCGTGCCAACAGCTCGGCGCCGCCTTCAGCACCCTGCCTATCTCCCCCCTGTGTGTTCGCATTCGGGGCCCAGCTTTCGGGCCAAGCGCTTTGGCCCAAGCCTGGGCAAAATGACCTTGATGCGTCCTCCTCTCGGGGGGGGGGTCCAAACGAAACTCTGCCAACGGACCTCTGGAGGTCCAGCACGGCCCACAGATGCCTCCGCCGCCAAACCCACGGAGTCCCACCGAGCCTCTAGTTCTCTTTCTCAACGCCATCGAGGACCAAATCCCGCAACGCAGGCAACTGCTCTTGAGGCTGGACTTGTGGGGCAGCCGCCTCCGTCGCGGCCTTCCACGGGAATACGAGCGGGCGCCCACAGCCAACGGGAGGATCAGCAGGAAACATTTTAGGAGTATTGGCCACTCGAGCCCAGATTGGCTGATCCAGATCGGCCAGCTCGATAGCAACAGGTAAGTGACCGCATGCTGCTGTTATTTGGGCGCCAGCCAATTTCTGCACAACAAGTAGTCACACACCGTGCCTAGAACAGCCAGACGACAAGTTGAAACTTTAGGAACGACTGAAATGCAGCCGGCACCGTGCAGCCAGTCAGATAGGCTAAAGGCATGAATTGCCAGATCCCTCTGTTCCTACAACCCATGGCATTCGCATGCCATGCAAGATGTTGAGGTACTCAACTAGCTGCCACAACTTCAAGGCATTGTTGATATCTGACCCCTTACCGTCTTCCAAATAGGCTCAGGGGAAGACCACACCACCTGGCAAGAAAGAGTGATCGTCGGCCACAACAAGTCGCCCAGGAATAAGCTCGTGTGACGGTACACAAGGTGGTGCAGTAATTGTCAGCTGAGTCTGCGCGAGAACCGCAACCCCTGCAGTGGCACCAGAGCCCCCGTCTTCGTTCGGAACCGCGGGACTCCACAACCCACGATACCCAGTATCCCAAAGTTGATCATGCTTCTCACCCCGACGATCAGCTGGCACATGCAACTCATGCGCCAGCACCACCTGGGCGGAGGCGTGCGCCAGGTGGTCCACCATGGGGCCGAGGTTGCTGGAGTTCAGGGTGGCAACGGTCGAGGTATTCTGCTCGGAAACGCGGGTACACGCCGAAACCGAGGTAGGCAAGGTAGAAGCAGCACACGAGGCAACCGAAGAAGGAAGCGTTACCAAAGCTCCTGTGGGGGCCGCGGACTCACGCCGCGCCTGGTGGCCCGCCCCCTCTCAAGCGTCCTTAGGCACACTCTGATGCCGACTGGAGCAATGTGAGCGATGTACTGCACCCTTACTGGGGGAAGATCAACGTCGTCGGCGCCACCGAAGGGGAAGGCGTTAACATGTGCGAAGTCGTCGCGGCAAAGCTGCGGCGGCGACGGAGGGGCAATGGGACCCATCATCTTCCTGAGAATCCACATGCAAGAACGAATCGGCATCCGCGTCACCGAATGAGGAGACACGCGTATATTGTGGGCTAGCAGCAGGCCCCACCCCTGCATCATCGAAACTTGTGGTGTCCCTCATGCCAGCACTTGTGCTCATGCGCGTGAAAGACCGTTTGCCAAAACCTGCCTGGCTACGCGCCAGTGCGAAGCTTCTTGAATCAGACACCGAATATAGATGACACTTGAGCGTTTCCCCGAACATTGAGGGGAACGCCTCATCTTCATCCGCATCTTCTGGGGGGATTGGCTCACGCACGAATGAATGAGTCAAATTGCGATACTGTAGCTTCAAGCTTCCAGCCTAGGGATGAAGGCTGCAAGGGAGGGCTTGCCATCTGCACCAGTTTGCTTGGCTGGAACGACCGTTGACCGAAGGCGCTCCTGGATGGCAAGACTGTTCTGCTGAGTTTTGGCGTCGTCGTCCTCCGACTGGTTGAGTGCAGCAGCAGCCTCGTCCAAGGCCACCTTCGCAATACATTTGATCTCAGATTTTGCGGCATTGAGCTGATTGCTAAGGCCATGGGCACGAACTTCAAACGGCTTCTCTGCTTGCAAGTCAGACTGGAGTCGGTCCCGTTCTTCAGCGAACTGGGCTCGCACAACCTCATCTTTGGGACCCAGAGTGGTAAGAATCTTCCCAATGTCAGCGATACGCTGGCGCTCGCCACCGTCGACTGAATCGGGCTTACTCCATGGCGGCGTGGCGGGACCGCCACCTCCGTCAGTCAAATCACCACCTTGGACTCGAGTGCCAGCCGTTGCCAGGCCTGCCATCTTCTTCTTGACATCTGCCACCCGCTTGGCGACCTCCGACTCTCGAGCAGAGGCCATGGTGGCCGAGCGACGAGCCGGTACTTCGGGAGGGGGGACACCCTTGAGTGCCGTACCTTTTGGAAGACCACACTGCGAGCACCACTTGTCATCAGCCGTTTTGATCCATGGGGATCAGTCGGTTTGTGAGTGCACCATTTGCAGTGCCACGGCTCGCATGTGCGGCACGACGCTTCCTGGAGCCCATGCTGCCGCGAGAAGGACCTACGCCTGCAGGCGCAGCAGGGTCGTGATCTTTGGCTCGAGGAGGCAGCGCGCAGCTCCCGCCAAGGCCACTAAAACGGATGTCAGGCACAATGCTTGCGGCATCCATTTGTTCCGCAAGGAAACTCAAAACTTTGAGCCAAAATGGCTACGGACAGACGGCCAGGAGGGAAAGAAGGAGGAGGACGAGGAGGAGGAGGAGGTGGAAGAGGACGGGGAGGCCGAGGGGGAGGAGGACGGCATTCAGGCGGACTCATTCGAGCCTGAGCCCAGTTGAAGCCGTGCTGATTGCCCTCCCTCGCCGCCAGCAGGAGTGGGTGCGCCACACGGCCGTCCCGCGCATCCTGGCCGCCAGGGGAGATCGGGGGGCTGGGAAGGCCAAAATGCACCCCAAGGAAGGGCAACGGCAGGTTATCAAAAAACATTCGTACTCATAAACGTAATTTTTGGAGGTTCGGATTTCGGTCGGCGCTGACCACCCGCCCACCCACCCCTGGAGGCGCCTCCAGCGCCGCCCCCGGCGGGCTCCGCGCGCATCCAAGAAATCCGCGCGGTCCTCCTAAAGTTAATGTATCCGATGTCTGTCCTTTTAGACTCGTGTGGTGCCGACGCGGCGGCGACCCTCGCGCGGGCGTTCAAAATCAAACGCCGCCAGCCTGGAATCGGCCGGGATCGAACCATCTAAGTTGTCGAGGGGTTGCGATCGTTCCAGGTTGAACGATCCACGCGGTGTCTCATGCCAGCACAAAAGTCGTCACGACACGAATCTGACGTACCCTGGAGAGGAGGCCTCGGGGCCCACCTCGGAATTCCCGCTGGCTGGGCTGAGCCGCAGCAGCTGCGACACATCACTAGGGGTGCGTCGTCCTGGGGGCACCCAGACCTCCGACGTCACGATTTTGTCAAAAACGTATCCTGGACTGGCCTGGAAGTCTGGAGTTTTTCCCCCAGGCCCGAGTTCTCATCCCGGCCCGGTTCTTGATAATCTGGGGGCTTGGCAAGTGTCCCTAGAGGCCGAAAAGGGTCAAGAGCATCCCGTCGTGATCTTGGCGCTTCCCAAGGAGAGGGAGGGGGCCTGCAGAGGTTGCGCCGCACGAGGCGGGAGGATCCAAGGGCGGAAAAGGCACCCCGACCCCCACAGCCAGCGTTTGCTGAACTGCCCTGTGCGTTCACCGAACAGTCCCACCTCGCTCGTTACGGCAAGTTCGTATCGTGCCGACGTGGCGGCCATCAAGCCACAGCCCAGAGTCGGCCAACATGGAACGATCTGGAGATCGAAGAGCCGCCGATCGTTCGAGGTTGAGCCATCCACGCGGTGTCCGGAACCAGCGCTGGGGTCGTCACGACACACACACAGCCGCCGATCGTTCGAGGTTGAGCCATCCACGCGGTGTCAGGAACCAGCGCTGGGGTCGTCACGACACACACACAGCCGCCGATCGTTCGAGGTTGAGCCATCCACGCGGTGTCAGGAACCAGCGCTGGGGTCGTCACGACACACACACAGCCGCCGATCGTTCGAGGTTGAGCCATCCACGCGGTGTCAGGAACCAGCGCTGGGGTCGTCACGACACACACACAGCCGCCGATCGTTCGAGGTTGAGCCATCCACGCGGTGTCAGGAACCAGCGCTGGGGTCGTCACGACACACACACAGCCGCCGATCGTTCGAGGTTGAGCCATCCACGCGGTGTCAGGAACCAGCGCTGGGGTCGTCACGACACACACAGCCGCCGATCGTTCGAGGTTGAGCCATCCACGTCAGGAACCAGCGCTGGGGTCGTCACGACACACACAGCCGCCGATCGTTCGAGGTTGAGCCATCCACGCGGTGTCAGGAACCAGCGCTGGGGTCGTCACGACACACACAGCCGCCGATCGTTCGAGGTTGAGCCATCCACGCGGTGTCAGGAACCAGCGCTGGGGTCGTCACGACACACACAGCCGCCGATCGTTCGAGGTTGAGCCATCCACGCGGTGTCAGGAACCAGCGCTGGGTCGTCACGACACACACAGCCGCCGATCGTTCGAGGTTGAGCCATCCACGCGGTGTCAGGAACCAGCGCTGGGGTCGTCACGACACACACACACACACCGCCGATCGTTCGAGGTTGAGCCATCCACGCGGTGTCAGGAACCAGCGCTGGGGTCGTCACGACACACACACCGCCGATCGTTCGAGGTTGAGCCATCCACGCGGTGTCAGGAACCAGCGCTGGGGTCGTCACGACACACACACACACACACACACAGCCGCCGATCGTTCGAGGTTGAGCCATCCACGCGGTGTCAGGAAACAGCGCTGGGGTCGCCACGGCACACAGCCGCCGAGCGTTCGAGGTTGAGCCATCCACGCGGTGTCAGGAACCAGCGTTGGGGTCGTCACGACACACACACACAGCCGCCGATCGTTCGAGGTTGAGCCATCCGCGCGGTGTCAGGAACCAGCGCTGGGGTCGTCACGACACACACACAGCCGATGGTTCGAGGTTGAGCCACCCACGCAGTGTCAGGAACCAGCGCTGGGGTCGTCACGACACACACACACACAGCCGATCTTTCGAGGTTGAGCCATCCACGCGGCGTCAGGAACCAGCGCTGGGGTCGTCACGACACACACACACACAGCCGCCGATCGTTCGAG